GATTGCTCCTGGCTTTGAAAACAGAAAAGTCATCAGCGCACAGACTGGTGGTGTTGGGTTGGAGCCGTTAAGAACATAAGAGAAGCCATGCTGGATCAGACCAATGGCCCATCCAGTCCAATACCCTCTGTCACACAGTGGCCAAAAATACCAGGTGCCATCAGGAGGTCCACTAGCATGGCCAGAACTCCAGAAGCCCTCCCACTGTGGTCCCCCCCAAGCACCAAGGATACAGAGCATCACTGCCCCAGACATAAGAACATAAGAGAAGCAATCTTGGATCAGACCAATGGGCCATCCAGTCCAATGCTCTCTGTCACACATTGGCTACAAATACCAGGTGCCATCAGGAGGTCCACCAGCGGGGACAGAACTCCAGAAGCCCTCCCACTGTTGCCCCCCCCCCCCAAGCATCAAGGATACAGAGCATCACTGCCCCAGATACAGTGTTCCAACTATAGTGTTCCGTTCCATGAGCAGAAGTCCTTTGCTCCAGTGGAAAGCTCCTTCTACAGGAGGAAAGCTCATGAGCTAGTTACCCATTATTTAGCTGATCAAGCAGCAAATTATTGTCAGTTTGGCGTAGTGGTTAAGAGCACAGATTCTAATCTTGGAGAACCAAGTTTGATTCCCCACTCCTCCACATGCAGCTGTTGGGTGACCTTGGGTCAGTCATAAGTTCTTTTGAAGCTGTTCAAGGGCAGTTCTCGAGAGAGCTCTCTCAGCCCTACCTGCCTCACAGGGCATCTGTTGTGCAGAGAAGGGAAAGGAGATTGTAAGCCACTCTGAGACTCCTTCGGGTAGTGAAGGGCGGGGTATAAATCCAGCTCCCCTCCTCCTCCTCCATCGTCTTGCCCTACCAGGCAATGGACAAAGGCCATCTGGCTTGCGCTAGTTGGAAGCAGAACCAATCAAGCGGGGAAATCCTTACAGTCTTCTCTCCCCTAGTGGTGAGGACTTGCAAGAGGAGGACCAGCTTAGTAAATATGAGGACAGAGATGTGTGCATTCACACACACAGGTATATCAAAAGCCCTTCTCTTAAAACTTCCACAACCTTATTTATATCAATGGGAAGGTCCGTGAGCCAAGCCGAGGGAGAAAGACCCCCCATCTCTTTTAATGTTCAATTGATTTTTCAGTTTAGAATCTAAGTGTACAGCCCAAAAGAAGGGGCAGGGAGGGGTGTGTGTGAAGGAATAGAAGTCCGCTTCGGGATAGCTGAAAAGTTCTCGCTAGGTAGAATGGAGACAGGCCCAGACTCAAGCTGAGAATTTTCCTGCCAGCCCTTGTCAGATCTCAGAAGCTAAGGAGGGTCAGTACTCAGGAGAGAGACTGGTCCACCAAGGAAGACTCTGCGGAGGAAGGCAATGGCCAACCACCTCTGCTTCTCACTTGCCTGGAAAGCCCCTGGCTGGGGTCGCCCTTAAGTCAGCTGCGACGTGATGGCCCTTTACTCAAACACGCTTTGTTTCTCCGGTTCCAGACCAAGAACACTCCCAATGGCTCATCTCCCCAGCTGTTTGAACTCCCAAGCACTCCCTTCCCACGCTTGCTTTGCGGCCACTGCCATTCTCTCTTCAGTCACGTACTCACCCTGTGGTACTCCCAATGCTCTGGAACGTAACCTTCCGGAATCTCGGCCAGTTCCGCTTCACCTGATTGGAGGAAATGATCGATTGTTGTTATTCGTTTGCATCTCAGGCGCAAAGGCTTTCAGGGCAGCTTATGTGGATCAAAACAGCCAGCCGACATCCAAACCGTTCCCAACCCCGTGGAAACAAAAACCAGTCTAGCCCAGGGGTGCCCAACCTTTTTGAGCCTGCGGGCACATTTGGAATGCTGACACGGCATGGGTGGGCACAGCAACAAATGGCGGGCACCAATGCTCCCTCTAAGCTGTGGAGTCGGGTGAGCAAAAATTCTACTTTGTGAGCTACTGGCATCAAAGCCGTGAGCGAGCGATTTGGCTGCTGCATAAATCAGTTTGCTCTGGAGCCCTCCTTCCTGAGCTGAGACAAAAATATGCGAGCTGGAGGCTAAAAAACTGTGAGCTAGCTCACACTAACTCATCTTAGAGGGAACACTGGCGAGCACCATGTTGGGAATTGATTTAGCCCATTAGAGCTTGCAACAGAACCAAACCCAATCCCCTGCTCACTATTTCAAAGGTAAGTCCTGTTATAGTAAAAGCACAAGGAAGCAGAAACAAAAGCAGAAAAGCACCGGGGGAGATAAAAAAACAGAGAAACAAAATAAATATTTTTTCCAAACCACAAGCAGCGACACAAGGTGGGAACATTCAAATGTTAGGATATGCATAACCCAGCCACAGTCCCAACAAATTATAGTCCGTTTCTAAATGAGGTTGTCAACCGGCCTGGGGGGAAATGCCCTGTCTCTTTGACAGACGTTTCACATGTAAAAATAGGCAGATGACGATTTTCATGACAGGAAAGGAAATTATATCACCTGATGCGTAACAGCCCAGTGAAGGGACAGGACTTATTTCTCCAGGCCAGCGAGCAACTCTAATTATAAGGATGTTATGTTGATATACCGCAGACCTGCAAAAAAGACCCCTTGTTTCTAGCAGGCGGGCTTCGCCGAGAAGCCTGCCTGCTAGAAACAAGGGGTCTTTCTTGCAGGTCTGCAGTATATCAACAACATACTTCCTTCAAAGGGCCACTATTAATTCAAGAGGCATCATAGCCCAATCCTGTGTACAGTTGTTCAGGAACAAGTTCACTGCTTATTTTCAATAAAGAATGTGTCGGATCAGCAGAGTTCACCCCTTTTCTAGGAGTCTTAAAAATATGCAGCAAAGGAACTGCCTTGAAGTTTTGTCGCTTTATGGACTTACGTTCTCTTTCTTTGCTGGATTCGTTCTTGCTCAAAGAGACAAACAAAATGGAATATGCAGCAGATCTTGATGTACAGAAGCCCACAGGTGAAAATGTTCACCCAAGGGGGGAAGAGGGGGAGAAGGGAGAAGAAGAAGGAGAAAGAAGGAAGAAGAAAGCGAAGAGGGAGGAGGAGGAAGAGGAACAGGAAGAAGAGTTGGAGTTATACCCCACCCTTCACTTGGGAGTCTCAGAGCAGCTTACAATCTCCTCTTCCTCTCCCCACAACAGACACCCTGTGAGGTAGGTAGGGCTGAGAGAGCTCTTGAGAAATCTTGTGACTGACCCAAGGTCACCCAGCTGGCTGCCTGTGGAGGAGTGGGGAATCAAACCCAGTTTTCCAGATTAGAGTCCACCACTCTTAACCACTACACTGAACTGGCAGGAGAGAAACAGCATCGCCTGGGAATCGCTGAACGTTCAGTTTCTGTGAAAGGCCCAGCTGCAACTGTCCAGCTCTAAGAACGGTGACCACAACTGTACTTTTCTTCATGCTTTTCAGTGGAATCAACCCACACACTCAGCATCAATTTATCAAATATGTGCAATCCCAACCCATTGTTAGTCACAGTAGCAAATTCCATGCATTCTTTACTTCTGCAATGATCCCGTTCAATGGCACAGAAGACTTTAAGGTGTTTTCCATACTGGGGGGGGGGCCTTTTAGGGCTTCACTATTGCTGCTGCTGATATAGCACAGCAGCAGCAGGGCTTCCATGTGGCAGCTTTCCGAGCATTCTCCCTGCCTCTGTGGCGGCTATACTACCCACACCACCAAGGGCAGCTTTGGGGTTTTTTCCCTTAAAACAGCAACAATTGACAACACATTATAACAAGTTGTCTACCTGGTTCTCTGAATTCCCAGTTGTTGTTTTTAAATCTGACGCCCCTTTCATTGCAGAGATACAAGGGGAAAGGCATATCTCCACAAGGTAAGGGGTTAGAGACTTGCTTTTTAAAATGAAACCTGTTAGACAGATTGTTATCTCCCTTATAAATAAAAGCCGAATGGTGGTGGCACTTCTCTAGAACATTCCACACGCTCCAAAATCAGTTCGCTCTCTGACCTGTCATTCAAAGGTCTCCCTATCCACTGGCTGCTTTGCGTGAGTCCTGCCTCCAACATTCTAAACATTTTGCTAATCCTCTCCCCCCGATAGCCAGTCATAACAGAGGTTATTTGCATATGCAGCCTCATTGGCCTCTGCCTCGGAACACAGAGGTCGTTTGCATATGCAACTTGATAGGCTTTTTGCCTCTAACATTCTAAACAGTTTTGCTGTTCTGAGGTAAAATGTGTCCAATCTCCAGGTGAGGGCTGGAGATCCCTCAGAATTACAACTGCTTTCCAGATGGCAGAGATCAGTTCCCCTGGAGAAAATGGTGGGCTCTGTATCCTTATATGCTGCTGAGGTGGCCCCCGTATGACAGCCAATGTGACGTAGCAGTCAGGGCTTCAGAGCACGGGAGAGGCTGCAGGTGTGGGGGGTGGAAAGCTGAAGAGTGAGGGGGAAATAAAGGTAGGTTGATGATTGGCTGGGAAGGAGATAGGGTTGCCAACTCCAGGTGGGAAATTCCTGGAGATGTGAGGGATGGAGCCTGGAGAGCTCAGTGTCATTATACCCTGCTGAGGTTGCCACAGCAAACTGACACTGAGTGTCCAAGGCCGGGGCACCCGCCCAGAGCCTCTTTCTAGAGGCCGTTGTATTTATTTCCACAACGGGCCTTTTTCCTAGTAACGTTATAATGCTATATTGATATGTCAATAGCTGACTGTTTTCAAAGCCCTCCTGATGTGTGTGGGGGCAGGAGGCGGAGATCACCAGAGGGGCTTGGGGCAGGAGAAAGACGTTGATGTGGGTGAGACTGCCAAGGTCCAGACTTTCGTGTTCACATGAGTGTCACCCTGGCTTTGCTGTGATTCCCCCCAAAACGTTGCAGCAATGCAAGTTTGGCAAAGGCAGGGAAACCCTGGGAGGCACACAGAAGTATCACCAAGCTCAATGGGCACTCAATGAAATTGCTGAGCAGTCGGGTTAGAACAGATAAAAGGAAGTCCTTCTTCACCCAAAGAGTGATTAATGCATGGAATTCACTGCCACAGGAGGTGGTGGCGGCTACAAACATGGATGGCTTCAAGAGGGAATTGGAGAAACATATGGAGCAGAGGTCCATCAGTGGCTATTGGCCACAAGGTATAGATAGGAACTCTCAGGCTGGGGCAAGTGATGCTCTGTATTCTTGGAGTTTGGGGAGGGGGCCAACAGTGGGAGGGCTTCTAATGTCCTGGCCCCACTTCTGGACCTTCTGATGGCACCTGGTATTTTAGGCCACTGTGTGGCACAGTGTTGGACTGGATGGGCCATTGGCCTGATCCAACATTGGCTTCTCTTATGTTCTCATGTAGGGAAGCAGAGGGTGGGGGGGAAGCAACCCTTGTGTAAGTGACCTAAACAACACCTCCCCCCTGCACGAAGCCCAACCCTTTTAATTTAAACACAGAAGAGATCATCTGTCTCCAGAACCCAAACCAGTTCCCTCCCAAAACGAAAAGAAAAATGAAAACACAGCATTGTCCCTCACTGTCCTCTGAAACCATGAAAAAATAGAACTGCTGTAGACTTCACTTCCACTGAGAGCCAGTTTGGTGTAGTGGTTAAGTGCGCGGATTCTATTCTGGGATAACCGAGTTTGATTCCCCACAACTCCAGTTGCAGCTGCTGGATGACCTTGGGCAAGCCATAGTTCGGATAAGAGCTGTCCTTGAAAAGAGCAGTTTCTATCAGAGCTCTCTCAGCCCCACCTACCTCACAGGGTGTCTGTTACGGGGAGGGGAAGGGAAAGGAGTTTGTAAGCTGCTCTGAGACTCCGAGTGAAGGGCGGGGTATAAATCCAATCTCCTCCTCCCCCTCCTAGCACGGAGCTCCTTATTATCCAGTACCAGCAAACCAGATTCCATGTTGCTTCAAATACACCTCCCCACCCCAGCATTAAAAGATGCAACTACTTGCTTCGTTACAATAGTTAGCAGTTCTTAACACTTCAAATCATAATGTCTGTAAGCCAAGCTGACAAAAATACTCACCAATGAAGACATTGACAAGCGTTACAAAGATAACTATGGGTATCCCGGTTAAAAGAATATAGAATTTCTGTTTGGAAAAGGAGAAAAGCAAAATAGTTACGGTTCAAAGCACGTAATGCCTTCGATTTTCCTGCGGCCTCCAGTAAATGTGGACCATTTTCTTATACAGTCAGAGAAATCTGATGAGCTTTGGGCAGAGGGCATCACAAAAGGCATTGTCCATTACTCCAAATTTCAGGACGGTTACCGTGTTAGTAGAAGAGCTGGATTCAAGTCCAGTAGCACATTAGAGGCCAATGTGATTTCTGGGGTACGAGATTTCGAGAGTCAAAACTCCCTTCATCACAGGGAGTTTTGACTCACAAAACGTATACCCCGAAAATCTTGTTGACCTCTAAGGCGCTACTGGGCTCCAATCCAGCTCCTCAAATACTTGACATTTTCTGATATTTTCTAAACTGTGAGAAATTGCAGAGATGGAAACAGGGCCCTCGTTTCCAACCCAGAATTATTACCCCTCATTCATGCATACTGGCCTCCCCAAAACTGCACTGCTTTTCGATCTCTTCACTGGCAAGGAAGGACTGTAGCTCAGTGGTAGAGCATCTCCATGGCATGCAGAAGGTCCCAGGTTCAATCCCTGGCATCTCCAGGTAAAAGAACCAGGCAGTAGGTGATGCGAAAGACCTCAGCCTGAGACCCTGGAGAGCCACTGCCAGTCGGAGTAGACAGCACTGACTCAGATGAACCAATGGTCTAAGTCAGGATAAGGCAGCTTCATGTGTTCAAAGAAACAACGCACATAGGGAGCATGCAGCTGGGACGCCTGCTTGTTGTTCTTGCTGCTGCAAGCACCACCGCTGAAGAGACAAGCCACTTTTGAAAAAGAGTGGCTAGCCTCTTGGGCAACACCAAGATGCTGCTCATGGTCTCCCTCTGCTGTATCTGTCAAGCTCAGGAGACCACATACATTTATCTGTTTAGACCATTTAGATCAGGGATCACCAGCCTTTTTGAGCCTGTGGGAACATTTTGAATTCTGACACAGCATGACGGGCACAACCACAGAATAGCCACCTGGGGATAAGAAGTGCAGGGGATAAGAAAGGTAAACTTTAAAAATACATTGGGAAAGAAGAGACAGAGAGCGAATAAAACCAACCCGGCAGCCAATGCTCCCTCTAATCTGTGGAGTCTTGTGAGCAAAAATTCTACTTTGTGAGCTTCTGGCATTAAAGTTGTGAGCGAGCGATTTGGCTACTGCATAAATCAGTTTGCTCTGGAGCCATCCTTCCTGAGCTAAGACAGAAATCTGTGAGCTGGAGGCTGAAAAACTGTGAGCTATCTCACACTAACTCAGCTTAGAGGGAACACTGCCGGTAGCGGCAGTTATTGCTGAAATGTTGTTTTAATCTTTCTCAGATGGGCAATCAGAAACCCTACGAGGCAGGGAAAACCCACCCACTTTCTAAAAACACCAGAAGAGTTGTTGGTGGGCACCATTAGCGCCTCTGGGTGCCATACTGGGGGTCCCTGATTTAGATCTTGCCTTTCCACAAGTATTTAAGGTGGCTCACAAAAAAAAGCCCCCCCAAAAGCCCCCAGCAATAAAACCAAGCACCAATAAGACAGAAGAAACTAACAAGGAACCAAACCTACAAAGAAAATTCTTTGGTGCCGGAAAAGTAATCCCTCATCTGATTTCAAAGGCTCCCTGGAACAAAGTTTTTGGACGCCACAGAAGGTCGAAAGGGAGAGGG